CAGAGGGTTCCTGGAATAAGGGACCCTCCCACCTTCACTCACAAGCTGCATTCAATAAATGTTTTTTTCTCCCTCTCTCAGATTATGATTTCATTTGTCTGACTTATCTAGATGTCAATGGTTTATTATGTGTCGTAGTCAACTGGGCATAGCAACAATGGCGTTAATTGAAATGAATTAAAGTGGACCGAAAATCGCCCTTTTCATTGGCAGGATTCAAACCACAACCTTTGAATAACACGTCTGATGCTCTGCCATTTAAGCCATGACGGAAGGTACTTCTTTATTCACTAGTTCTTAAGTGTTGCTGTACATCTGAACCCTGACAGTGTTAGACAGCGCATCCTGTAGCCAAGGCCGTGAGAGTAGAACACTTTTTTTGCCAAAGGGCTTCACATGGCAGGTCATGTGGTGTAAATCTTACCAACGAAAAAAGAGATTGCTCGTACATTTTAATTATTTTTATTCATTTCAATTCACATCATCATTAGCAAATCAAGTTGAATACCATAATTATTTGCCTCTATGCCTTCCCTGGCCTGTTGATTTCATTCTGTGGTGTCTTAAAAAAAGGAAATGAAGAAGGGGCCCCTTAAAGAATTCGCCTACTTTTTCTACCAACTGACCCCAGGCAGTTGTGGGGCAAATACTCTCCCCAGTGTAGTTAACAATGCTATGCAGCTCCAGAGTGAATGTCACGTAACAAGGCTTGTGTGAATAGGAAAATTAAAGTTCTGAGCAAATTCAAAGTAAATATTGATTTGTCAAATAATGGCTTAATCCTACAAACGAGTGGTTGTCTTCTTTCCCTTTTTTTACTCTATTCTGCAATCTTGCGGGTTTCCACAGAACTCATTTGCAATAAATTGCATGCTTTCCTGACACACATCCGGTAATTTCACAGCACACGCAACTCGCAGCTATTAGCGTGACATATAGCATTTGTGACAAGAAAGTAGCTCCAACAGCACTGATTTCAAGAAAGGAAATGCAAGCAAGGATTGTCACTTAGTGCAAGAAAGTTGCCCCAAATACTCCCAATTCCCTTACATTGTAAAAAAAAATATAAAAAACGAGTATTTAGGAATCATTTCTGCCATAGAAAAATATTCATCATCTGGCTTGTGCATTTGCTTTTAAAAAATAAACGCTTTTGCTGTTTGCAAAGACAGGTCCTGAACGGCTTTCAGTTTTTTGAGACAGCATACAACCTAGTGGCCATGGTGGCAAACAAAAGCCGGCTATCTTTTAGCCTGCTATTTTTTAAGGGGGGAGGCTACCATCGGATACCAACTTTTTTGTTTATTGAGATATCTTAATAAAAGTTTCAGGATAGACTTATAGCAAAAGCATTAGAAGAACTACAAAATTTCATCAAGTTATGTTCACTGGTTTTCAAGTTACAGCAGAATATCAGGGTAGTGCACATGGTTCTTTTATTCCAGGCCTGGAGAACTTTCAAAAGGTGCTGGAACTGTGAAATTAACTATGATGATTCCCAGATTGATACTCCAGTGGGTAACAGAGCCCTTTTTTTGAATTTCCTTGCTGAAAAGTTTTAGCAGACCATCAAACTTTGTGTTCGTGATTAGGATATTATCAATCAAATTTTGATTAAATATAATAAATAACACACACAATATATTGAAAAAATGGGCTTGTCACCCCTTCAGAAATTTATTCATGTACATAATAAAAAAAGACTTATGGAAATCCAATGAGTGGTTCCAGAGATATGGCTGGAATAAGTAGCCTCACTAGCCAAAAAAGTCATTTTGAGAAAACGACGTTTGAAAGTTTTGAGCACATAGGCAGTTCTAAAATGAACCTGCAGCAAAACTGGAGGTGTCCTTTGGCACTCTCTTTTTTTGCCGCCTTTCCATCTTCTCTAGGGATCGCTTCTTAGCCTTTTTCAAGCGCAGAGAATCTTTCTCGGCTGCCCGTTGAATGGCCAGGTGGCCAGGTGTTAGCCCCACTGATGAAGCTAGCTCTTGGGTGGCCCTGTAGCAGCCAGCATTGTATCTTAGCACTACATCATGCAGTGCTGTCTCCACAGCAATCAGTGACGCATGCTGCTCTTTGGGCATGAGGGACCACAGCACAGAGTGAAAGGACTCTGATGCATTCTGTGTCTTTGCTCCCAGGCAGCGTTGCAGAAGAGAAGCCTGTGAGAGCCTCTCGTAAATGGGTAGAAGTGCATCTGCAACATAGCGTGGCAGCTTGTACGAATGCTTCGGAGGTGGAACACCGGTTATCTTGCTGGCATTGTGACGACACCAGGAGTCTGCACCCTCTGGGCACAAGTCGTGGTGCGGCTCCTCATCCGTCGACGTCACATGGTGGTACGATGCCATCACTGCCAGCCGCATTGCAGCCACATCATCGGAATTGTTCCGTAGGGCCCAGCCATAATAATCTGTCAACTTGTCGATGAGGGCCTTTGTCAGCCTGCCCTTCCCTCCCAAAGCCTTGTCACTTTTCTGCACAAGGTTGCGAAGTGCAGTCCCCATCCTCTTCTGAACGTGGTTCAGGCATTCCTCTTTTGAAATGGGGACCAGTCCATAAACATTTTTTTGTACAAGGGCAGAGAAGGTGGCACTATCTCCATCAGACACGAGCGTTGTGTAACGGAGGTTGTGCTTCGACAGTGAGCGTGAAAAGAGGATGATAGCTGCCTCAACCTCCATTCTCCCTGATTTAGAGTCGGTGTTTTTCTGGCACACATGATTCTCCAGCCAGCATGCATAGTCTGCGTCTCCAGGCTTTGGCCCTACTTGGCAACCAAGGCACTGATTAGACAGAACAACGGCGTCCAAGATAAGGCCCGTATGGTATTCAATAATTGCCCCGACTCCAATATGGGATGTGTGCCCACGCTTGTGCCATGTTCCATCATAACAAACTGTTATATCCTTGGTGAAATATTGATCCATTTCTTTGTAAGTGGCTTTTACAGCAGAAGCAGATTCTGCATAGAAATTTTCTATGCATTGTGTCTGCGGTTCCCTGAATTTCTTCAGGTGCTTCTGAAAGGTCTTGTGATGGAGGCCACGATGGGACACGTTCATCGCTGCCCAAAAGTCGTTGAGAGCTGTTTGTCCCTTGCCTATTTGTTTTGTTGCCATAATGGCTCTTACATTCACATCAAAGGCCTTTGTGTCATCCTGACGAGATGAACTCCATGAGCTTGAAACTACTCCACAATGCAAGCATACTAGCTCAAGCTTTGCAGCAAGTCCAAGTTGGGTGCCTCCTCGTACCTTCATCCCAATCGCGGTGCACCGGTGGCACGGGGTCCAAGATAGCAGGTCGTCTAGGGCATCCATTTGCACAAGGAAAAATTTTTCGCCTTCACTTGTAGCGGTGGCAGCTTCATGATCGCGCTCCATTGCCTGAAATTTCCGCTCCGTCGCTGGCATAGCGCCAAGTTCTTTTTGCACAGCAGCGTGTTGTTGATCCGCCGCCTCTTTCTCCTCGCACGTCAGGAAACTTGTTCGCAAATGCACAGTTGACGACGCGATCGCACTCGAGGCTGATGAAAGAGAAGATGCGGAAGCCACTGTCGATGAGCACGAGACACCAGGCGCACTTGTAACGACAAATTCTTGCACCGGCGGAGCAGGAGTCCCGTTGCTAGGCGCGTCGATGCGACCACTCTCTTGCGTAGATGAAGCAGAAGCTGCCCCACAGGTACCGTCGGCGCGATCACCGTCGGCGCACGTGCGAGCGGAGAGCCTCGCCGTGCGGACAAGCTTCATAGCTCGCTTCCTTGCACCGAACGATTGTAGCGTCTTCTTTTTCGTTGGGCGCATCGTGAGCGAACACAACAACGGTCTCGTATAGACGGTTGAAAATCGTCTCGTAAAGACTGTTGAAAATCGTTTCGAAGACAGTTGAAACGTGGAGAGTATGCGAACGGCTGCAACGATACACGGAAGCGAGCGGAACACAAAGACGCCGGACGGAGGAGCAGCAGACAAGCGGCCGCATTATGCGCAAGAGCGCTACGTCATCGCGCGCAGCAGCCAATGGCAGTCGCGGGCTCCCCCGCGTCCTTGGGGAGCGTGCGCTTCGCCCAATCCCAGCTGCGCGCCTCAGCCGCGGGAAACTTGAAAGCTCTCGCGAGCCCTCCAATCATGAGCGGCTTGCTCCTCTCCTGCGCTGCCGCCGGCGACGCAGGTGGCGGGGAAAGAAAGAGCAAGTATTCACAAACAAAACAACACCAAAATGGCGGCGCTCCATCGAGCGGTCGAGAAACTGCAATCACGCCAAGTTGGGGTATTTTGAGCGCTCGCGCGCCGCTCGAGGGCCGCTGCGGCATGTTCTAAACTTTATTTCAAATAGTTTCGCGACGAATTAGATGTTGATATTTACAGAAAAGGTAGTTTATGACACATACTGCCCGAATATGTGGTTTGCCAAAAATCGACTTTTTCGCGATTTTTCGGTTTTCAAAGGCCGCGTCCCCCCTTAACACTTTTCTGCCTCTGCCTGTCCAAATATTTTAATTACAGTTTTTTCCAAGCTACCCACAACATAAGAGTTAGTCCCTTACTTTAAGCACATTCCTGTTACCTGAGAGCAGAAAAAAAGAGAGATATAGTATGAAGAAAGGCAGGGAGGTTCTTTTGTTACTGTAGCAACCCTTAAAAAACAACCTTTTTGCTTCAGTGTTGGAGAGTGACGATTGAGGTGACCGAGAGTTTCTAAAAAAAAAAAAAACACGTCTGGCTGCTATTTCAATCTTGAAACCGAGTGAAAAGGTGAACTGGCTTTCACCGCTTTCCTATTAAGAATGCCAAGTCATTCTAATAGTGCGCCTGCAGATGATGACAGCCAAGCGCCCGGACCGTAGCGACAAGCAAGAAAGCATGCACGGTAGATGATTATAGTTGCAAGCCAGAAACACTTCCAAAGTACACAGTTTTAGCACCCAATCAAACGGAACATCAAAAAACAACAAAAAAAAACCAAAGAGCTGCATATTCTATGCAGAATACCTCATGTAGGCTGCCTTGCAACGTTGCTCCAACTCTTCCGAGCTTTTCTTGAGTTCCATGAGCTCAAGGGTGATACTGTTCAAGCGATCCAATATTTGCTGCCTCTCAACATTGCAGCGATCCAACTCCGCCTCCTGAAGAACCAGAAAGCAAGAAATAAATACCTGCAAACTGCTTGTATGCCACACTGACAAAAACATGTTTTCGAATTATTCCTATGTTCAAGACCTTTGCATTTTTTTTTGCCTTGTAGTTCAATTGAAACCTATTCTGTTTAAAAAAAAACGCCAGGCCTGCGCGGAAGGTGCAGCACAGTCACATCGAAAGCTAGAACAGCGGCCTTTTATAGCATTTTCTAAACACTCATTGGGTAACTGCTACAAGCACACTTGCTGGGTACCCACCACGGCATTAATAATAATTCCTGGGTAGTAGACCCACATTCACTATGCCATTTTTTGTCATTCTTCTGAGAAGCGTTGTATACGCTAAACACTTACAAGAAATTTCGTGCAAATTGTTCATGCAGTGGCTGACGACGATGAGGAATTGTGCCTGAAGTGGGTATGCGCCACAGTTAATAGTGATCAAAACAAGCTTTTGTAATGGGTTGGAGCATTGGACAACCCACTCGTTGCGCTATTCACAATGTGTGATGCTTCATTGTTCCTTTGCTGTTCTAAGACGCTTTATTACTCATATTAACACAATTCCTTTCCCGACATCAAGCCTGCCTAAGGCAAGTGTGCCAACAAGTCCCAAGCACCGGCATGGCTCAGTGGTGGAATATTGAGCTGGCATGCAGAGGACCCATGTTCGAGCCCTACTGTGTCCTTGGTACTTATTTTTTTGTCTTATTTCGCGATAGCAGTTAGGAACACTGGGGGCAGACAAGTACGGCGCTGCGCGTAACCCCGAGTTTTGATCTGATAACAGCTTTCGCTGTAAAAATAGACACCTGCTACAACCTGTGCAAAGGGACTGCCCTGCCTGTACAAAAATTATGAAGTCAGCATGTGTCATAAAAAAAAAGATTGATTGAGATAGATTGAATTCGTGGAGCCCGCACTGAGAGTCTTGAAATTCTGCACTAATATAATATAGGCAACTACTAAAACCTTTAAGAGTAAACTTCCTGCAGTACAAAAGTTCATTCTCTATGGCAGCTAGTCTGTTCTTGCTACATATGTTACATGCAACACGGCATTTTGCTTGTTAAGCCTAGGCCAGAAAATATGGAGGCATGATCGATGTTCTCATTCGCATGCATCGTGATGAGTAAACACGCAAAATGCTTCACAGCATGGGACGATTGAAGCAAGGACTGAACACACTGCCATTGTGCATGAGCTTTTCTCTGCCAGGAAAGCCACCTGGTAGTTTTTACAATCCTCCCACAGCCATAGAGTTTCCTAAAATTAACTAGAGGGGACTCTGGAGCTGCGATCGTTCAGCCACCATGGGAAACGATGGGTACTACACAACGTGTTTCGGTCAAGCAGTGATTCAGTTAAGGACAAACAATTTTAACAATACAGTAGTTTACACGATGATGGTGGCTTTTTCCACAGCTGTAATCTCCGTGGTCACCACAGTGCTTGGACAGCAAAGTAGCTGACATCTATGACCACACCTGCCTCATTGCTGAAGCAAGATTAGAGATCTTTTTAATGGAATGCTCTTGCACTCAGTTTATCATACTCACTGAATAAAATATAAACCTAGTGATCTTGCAGAATCGCGAGGCGAATCGCTTATGTAAAATTCACCATTGTTTAAGACGCACCACAAAAATACATCAGGAAAAAATGCATCTTATAAAGAGAAAAGTATGGTAACATTGTTCCTAGGAATTGAAATGAACTGTGATTTGAGGCATCTACAGTTATGCGCTCTTGTTTTTCGCTACACTGTTTACTTTAGTTGCTTAAGAGGTAGCGACATTATAGCTGTGATCACAGGTAAAGACTATTCTAGCGGTGGCTCAGTCCATTCCCATGACCCACCCAAGTTTTCCGAAAGCTTCTAAACAATCCCAGAGTAATTCCTTTGACTTCTGCGAAAAGATCCGAATTCCCTGACAATTTCCGGTAACCTGAACAGAGCATCTACACAAAGCTGTAAAGCCGGCTCCTCACCTTCGATTGTAACTTCGTTTCCATGGCTACAATTTGATCGTCAGCAGCTTGAAGAAGACTAACCGCCGTCCTTCGAGGCATGGGCAGAGGTAGTTTTCTCGGCAACCCACTTGTGGCACACACGGCTGAAGCAAATGCCATGCAAAAGTCAAGCTAATAAAAACCAGGCACAATCTTCAAAACAATGTGAATCAGAAACAGCTAATAATAGTACATGGTATGCTGACAATAAGAATATTATTGCTGCTACACTAATACTTACACAAGCAAAAACATTTCTAAAGAAATGCAGTAATGAAATAATTGCACAATTGAAAACTCCTATATTATACAATGTTAGGTATGTGCAGTCAGAAAATGAATTCCATTGACACAAATTTAACATTGGCAAGTGTACAAATTTAAAATTTTTAACCAGCTATACAACACCTCCCTAAAGATTGCTGAAAAAAAAAAAAAAGATTAGCCAATAATGGCTATAATGTCCTGTGAAATGCGGTTACAGCCTGATGATGTACAAGGCAAAAAGAAATCGGTTAAAAAGCAGTGGATAAGAAGATTTGGTGCAAACCTTATGACAGTGCCAACCACATGCATCTGTAAACAAGAGATTGCCCCAAAAGTTTTTACTCTGGGGCTACACAATAATCTCATAAAAAACTCAAAATCAAGGTTAAAACATTCAGTAGGAGATCTGCCTGTCCAGGAACAACTGAGTTTAACCGTTTCACTACTGCAAGAAAGGAAAAAAAATATGCCCAAATTACCTATAAATTTTTTTTTCACTCAGTTTTTAAAGCCATTTTTTAATGAAACAGTACCATTCAATCAATTCAATAGAGTTCCTCCCTTTCACTAATAGCTAAAAAAATATAACTTGGGAATGGCTTCAACAAATAGAAATACGTACAAAGACACAATAAAATGAAAGCCGATCTACAACTGGCACAGTATTGACTAAAGAGGCCATCTCGTGTCAAGAAACAAAAGTGTGAAGAGTATAGACTTTATTGGTTCCATCTGTGACTAATTTTTGTTGATGAGGAATGCTACAGTCTCAATCGGTCATTCCGAAACAAAACTTCGTCCTATAGTTGTCAACAGCAGCGAAAGGGTTAATGAAAACTCCATTGATGATATGTGGGGTTTAACGTCCCAAAACCACCATATGATTATGAGAGACACCGTAGTGGAGGGCTCCGGAAATTTCGACCACCTGGGGTTTTTTAACGTGCACCCAAATCTGAGTACACGGGCCTACAACATTTCCGCCTCCATCGGATAATGAAAACTCCAACCAAACAATAAATTTCCGACACTCTGAGACCTGACAGGGCGACCTTTCTGCAAGCTTTACGAGTGGTTACCTGAGCCTTTCTACAATAACACTGCCCTCCATTTATGACCCATGGCTTATACAAGTCGGAGCAGAATTTCGTGCAAGATGGTAATTCATAATTCAGTGATGGACGTGACTTTCTATATTTTGGAGCATATTTTCGAGCAGCCATAAGTGTTTTTTGGAGCAGAAAGAAACGCTAGTTTGGAGAAGCTACCAGTGTTTTCTGAACAGATACTAAATTTGCCATACATAAATTGGAGTTCGAGCCTTGTCGAAGTGATTCATAAATATCAATATTTATAATAAAATATATTCAACAGACAACAATCAATTTGAATTTCATGAAGCAAGCAACGGCCAGTTGTCAAAAATGTGCTGTTAAGTGAGCTATAATTTAAAATACTTGTATTTGAGGCATATATCAAAAACTGAAAACGCTGAGCGACACATTTTAGAAGTAATTAATCTCGTATAACTGTTGCCAAGTCAGCAGTATATAATCGGTATGAGATAAAATTAATCCTGCTCATTTTTACATTTCCATACACGAGACTGATATCTAGCTCAGAAGAAAAAGAAAACAGCCAAATGAGCTATATATGCTTAATTTGACAGTTCTTGTTGCATGAACGAGATCAGAACCGATAATGTTGCGCACAAGTAGAACACTAGGATGATAGTACACAGATTCTTTTCAGTTTCTTTAGAATTTACGAAGTCAGTCAAAAAGTAAAAGTTCGTCACTTTTCATTCTCTCAGTGTCATTTTGGAGCATGTTTGCAGCAATCCTTAACAAAAATTACTGCACAGAACAACATATCTCTTTAGCAGCAGCACTTACATTACTATAATTAATAAAGGACCACGCAACAAAAAAAGATGGACAAGAAAAAAGACCCACCCAGTGCAAACTTTTAACTATATTCATTGTGCCACAGGATCAGAGTCTGCAAGCATAATGAAAATGTAATAAAACTGCTTATTACCTTTCAAGTGACCTTCGTCAACCAGCTCACCGCCTGTGTCACTGTGCTCTCGCCGCATTTCAGCGGTCAGGTAGGGCCCCGAAATCGCTGTTGCCCTTGGCAGGCGCTGGCCAGGTCTCAGGCTCATGTTTAGGGTTTTGGCTGAGTTAACGCACGGTGAGCCAGGCAATAAGTGGGGAAAAGGAAAAAGAAGACGGTCATAACAGAATTTTCAAACGTACTCCATGGTAATTTTTACTACAACAAATATAGATAAGAAATATACATATATTAAAAAATATTAGAATACAACACATTCGCAATTGCTATGATCAAATATTACCCCATCTTCCCTTTTTATTTATTTCCTAATCATTCAACATCACTGAAATTATCTACTAAATTTAAAACTACGACATCCTGGCCAATCCACCAAAGTGGTTACGTGCCATATTCTATAAAGCACGAGCAAAACAAAAAAAATTTTTTTGGCGGGATGTCAAAAAGTCATCAGACCCCTCTGAACTGTGGCAAACCTAAAACATCGCCAGCAGAAGAAAAAAAAAAAACTTGCAGTGAAAACAATTTTGCTGTAAAAATTAAAAAAGGTCAGCACCTGTAGTTATACGCATGCTACAATAAATATACACTAGCCACAGATATTGCTGTGAATTCTGCTAATTAGCATAGCAATGTCTCCACTAATAAGGTAATTACATGCTTTGACATAACAAGTGCTTTGTAGCAATTTAATGGAACACCACGGATGACAGAAAATACCTCAAAGCAATTGCACTGGGGCTCTGACCGACATACGACTGCGAGGTTCCATAGTGATGGTAGAGTAAGGTAACTATGGTGCGGTTCCTACGCGCAGAATGCAGCTTTAGAACAGGACGGCCACAACTTTCTAAAAATAGCGCATGAGCAAAGCCAACCCTACGAATGATTAATGCACACGCTTAGGGTCTTCGTATAAGCTTGTACTATAAGTGTAATACTAGTTACTAAAGCATAAATGAGCGTTTTAGTACATTTTTTTCGAACTAGAACACCACGGTGGGTACGGTTATTTTTGCCATTTCAGCGTAGTACTTCAGACGCCTGTCGCTGTGTCCGCCTTTAACGCGTTTGTAATTTGCTTTTTAACTGACAAGTAAACAAAATTATTCTGTATGAAACAAGCGACAAATTGTGACACAGCACGCACGAATAAGAACGCGGAGTGCATAGAAAATCCATATACTTACTAAGGAGACGGAACGCCACAAGTGTTAACGTTCGGTTACGTAACTTGCCGAGGCCGGACGCACTGAAAATGCAAGAACAAAACAATGTAATAGCGTAATTGAATGTCTCGACTGATTCAAAGTGCCATTCAGTGCATCTTCTATCATTTGACGTGAAAAGGTCAAGCTACAGGAAAGTTTACGAGCACCGTAAGAAACGAAACTTCACTACGCGTCTCCGCCACCACATGCTCATATAGGTGCCCGTTTTCGAGAATTACGATAAGCGAAAGCGTTGAAATTAGTTCGTAAATGTTGTTTTAATCCTCTCTCACATTCGTAAGTGAATTGAGTCACGCAAATTAAGCTCAAATTTATTCTAATTCGAACTCACCTAGGCACGAGAACTACGAAGGCAGCCTTACCAAGCGAAGGTACGCGAAAACGCGAGAACTAACGTGCGTCTGTCTCGAAACCGGATCTAACCAGATCCAAACCAGAAGCCAATAATGTTTCACAAGTTACAATTCCATCCTTAAAAAAATTTTAAGTGAATAAAATTTAAAATACTTACGTTTTCTTGCAATTTTTTGTTGCTAAGTTTCAAACAAGTTTGACGCTATGCGAAACAACCGCGCGAACTTCTTTAGTAGATTGGATTGGATGTGAACAGCTTCGTATTCAGGTGCGCGTGTGTTACTTTGAAACGCCGCTAGGAACCATGCATTGCGAAGAGGAAGTACCAGTCCTCAACTTTACGTTTTAAAGGGAAAAAAAGACAAAACTTGTGGTTAGTTCAGTAAATATGACTAAGTGGCGTTAGCCGCCGCCCAATCCAAAGGGCACAGCCACATCTATCTAACCATTCATTCACCCATCCTGATGCGCAAGCCAGTTACACACCTTTCCTTCCTCCGCGCAGTTATATGTAGTTGCAAATTATTTCTGTTTTGTTTTTTCGATGGTGCGCATGCGTGGGTTTAAATGTGCACCTTGAAGTACAAACTAAATGAAAGAGCACCTACCAAAATGAACCGGTTTAGAGCAATTAAAACAGACGTTTTGGCCACCGTATAGTAACCAGGTCACTCTACGGTATGGTTTACAGTAAAATAGCTCAGCGAAGCAGGCTTCGGTCTGTTTTAGAGCACTGCCAAGACACCTGGCGTACGCTTGCGACAGATTACCCATCATTTCTGTTCAGCGTTTTTTTTTTTTTTTTCTGTAGTCAGGATAAGAAGAGATTCCAGATTTCGACGCGAACACCACTTTCTTAACTTCGCAATTGCCATTGCCTTGGCCCCGTCGTTGTTGTGAGTAGACGCATCCGCGTGTTCCGCAAGTGCATCGGGTACTCCGTTATTCTTCTTGAACTCATTCATGTGGTCTTTCAAAGTTACTACTCTCCCCGATATTATCATATTCGCAGTCTGCACATGGAATTTTCATAAAACATGCCTAGGAACTTTTCTTTTTTGAACGCGGGCTCTTTACGTGCGCGAGTTTGTATTTAACTTTACGGACAGGAACATGCGCGGACGTGTACGTCGAAGGTTCGTAAAAACCGTAGCAACCATTCACTGACACTTGACACATAAGGAATGGATCGATGCACGAGCTTGGGGTGGCACACCGCGCGCGAGGCGGCGTTGCGCGTGTGATTTGCTCTACGAAACTGACAGTGTGCCCGTAGTCAGAAAGTTCGCAGCGCGCTTTGGAAAGATAAGAGGCTGGGCCAACGTCACTGGAGCAAATCCTATGCACTCTTTGTATGAGGGATTCATTGATATGTGGGGTTTAACGTCCCAAAACCACGATATCATTATGACAGACGCCGTAGAGGAGGGCTCCAGGAATTTTGACCACCTAGGGTACTTTAACGTGCACCTAAATCTGAGCACATGGGCCTATGCCATTTCCGCCTCCATAGGAAATGCAGCCGACGCAGCCGGTATTCGATCCCGCGACCTGAGGGTCAGCAGCCGAGTACCTTAGTCCCTAGACCACCGCGGCGAAGGCATCAGGTAAGAGGACAACAGAACGTTTATGACAGGCTGGATGGACTGACTCGTAATGCAGGTAACGGCCGGAGTACGTCGCCTTCCTGAAGGCACCAAAAGAAAGGCGGCCGTTTCTACATGTAAGTCCAGGAAATGGTGGACAACCAGAGAGCTCTGTTTCTATTTCAAGTATGTATTTTCTTTTCAAGCAATTAAGCTTAGAAACAGCAGCGTATCCAGGGGGCGCCACCCCCCCCCCCCCCTGATATTTTTTCTCCATGGCATACAAAGTGAAAAATGACCAATTCAAAGGGTCTCACCCTCCGAAAAAAATTGTCTGCTTACTCCTTTGTTTAAGAACACAAGTCAGCGAACTCCATCGCCGCGATGGTCCAGTGGCTGATTGTACTCGGCTGCTGACCCGTAGTCGCGTGATCGGATCCCGGCTGCGGCGGCTGCAATTCCGATGGAGGCGACAATGCTCTAGGACCATGTGCTCAGATTTGGGCAGTGCATGTTAATGAACCCCAGGTGGTCGAAGTTTCCGGAGCCCTCCTCTGCGGCGTCTCTCATAATCATATCGTGGTTTTGGGACGTTAAACCCAGGTAGGTTTAAACCTCCTTGGTTAAACTCCTCATATCAATAATCAATTGAGTCAGTGAAATGTACACTGAGCATTCTCTAAAGTGCCCCTAAAACAACTTGAGATTTAAAGATGACAGAGTGCTTTCTTTCTCGCCTTCACTAACTTTCCTTTGGGGTGGATTCAGCGACTCATTTTAGGGGAGGAGGGGGGGGTCGCTTGAAGTAACACTAAAGGGTGGGTAGATGGTTAACGGTCGTAGCATAAATACTGTTAGTGTGTGCTCACAGTAGTCCCACTCAATTGTTCTAATTGGTAATAGGAGGTTGATGACAAGCGCTGCAGAGACTTCATAAAGCACCACTGTGGGCAACGTTAGCACTAAGTACAGAACCTATCAAGATTTCGCGCTTTTCTGCTTCATGCTATTACGTCCGCTTACGTAGTCAGAAACGCACCAAATTAAGTGCAATCAGTTAAACACGCACGAGTCATGCTATGCTATAGGCATGCACGACTGCATGTATGGCAGAACAGTGTGTAGGACACAACTCACGACTGCAGGCATGTGTCGTACTTGGACCAATCGAGAGCTTATTTCCTCGTGATATCGCGTAAACAGACTGTTGGGGTCTCAAATCAGGCCTCGAAATGCACGAAGAGTGTCAAAAGGGAATGCTGCGCTCGTTTTGCGTATTTTCGGAGGTTGTATTGGGGCCCTTTGAAACTTTATAGTATGCTCCCTCCTCGAAGTGATATAGAGAAATAAAAAAAAAATTGCCCCGTATCCGCATGTTTCACTGCAAATGTCGTCGAAAGACGATAGTCTTGCGTCTAAAGATAGTGATCGAAATGTTTATTTGATGTTCTGCGCGAGAAAATCAGTTGCTGCCTTAGAGTGCCTCGATTCGTGCAGCGGAGGCGAACGAGCGCATCGAGGCATGTCACACGTGAGACACGAGCGCTATCTGGCAGTTATCTTGGAAAACGAAGCGTGCGGAGTGCGCGCCTGTCTCGGAGGCGATGAGGTGAAGAGCGCGAGGCGACGGGTAAGTGCTATTACAGTGTCGTCTTAGCAAAGCGTTGGAAACACTTGCGCTTTCGTGCATAGCGTTGCATTGAGAGCACAGCGTTATAAACACTATGGCCCTTAGAATTACTTATGTATCCATTTTCTAGTATAAATAGGCGCATTCAGAATATTGACGTGTTGTTGTTGTGCCGCAGATGTGCGCAATCACTTTTTAATGGACAATCGCACAAGTATGAACGCTGAAACTTGAACAATATTGGTGGGCGCTGTGGGTGAGGTTGAATTTTGGCCATTTCGGAGTTGTTTTGACGGACAAACCAACAAATATACAGACAAACAGACCAAAGGTTTTGCGTCGAAGGTCTCCAAGAAAGATAATCGTCTTTAAAAATTAAGAGAGGACGCTCCGCGAAATCTGGCCTCATGAAGTACGACATGACTACGTAACAAACTATATAGTGCTCTCACCAAGCGCCAGAGAACGCAAGTGCGAAAAACAAAAACAAAAATTCAATTGAACAGCATGTTTTTTTTTACAAAATAATAATTATACGCCCATATTTGGTATGTTATTTATACATAAAAACAATTTATTCAACACACCTTACATAGCTTTTTTTTTGTTAAGCCACACTGCCATAAACAGCATTAACGATTCACGCTTATTCGGGTCACCCTGGGATCTTCGACACTGGGGCACTGCGACAGGGCCATTTCCGATGCTATACTTAATTACTTAAAAGAATTAAAGAGAATGCCATGTTAAAACTTTCAGTACATCCAAAACATTATGTTTCATTTATCTTTCACTCAAATTCATTTCATTAATTAGTTCACATGTTTTACTTTATGTAGCATTGCATTGAAAAACACCAAAATCATCCCAAATATTTTTGTACCTGTTTAGATTGTCTTTTTCGCACAATTTTCGCCCTCCTTTTCTCTCCCTCTCTCTTTTTTATTATTTTTATTTTGTTTCACTAATTCTACTGTCACCCACTTCGTGGCTGGTCCCCCGTGGTGGGCAGTGCCATTCTTGCGGGAATCACCATCATCATCATCGAGTCCCCACCCTACAAGCATGTGATAAGCCCAGGCATAACACCGGAAAGGTCTCGTCAACGTCGGCTTCTTCGGCGTTTTCGTGTGTGAGACAGCGTGTGAGGCATGTTTTCAAGCGAGGCTTGTTGAGTGGCATGTGGTTGGGCTAGTTGGGTCATTGATTCAGAAAAGGGTTAAAACTGCGCGAAGCAAGACAGCATGTAAGAAAGATAAACACGCCCACGCATGTATCACTTCGTGTGGGGCTTGTTGATATGTTTCTTACGTGGTGTCTTATTCGCGCAGTTGTAGCCTTTTTCAGAAGCTTGTTATGACGGCGAGGTTCGCTAAAAACAGTTTGAGGCTGTATGTGGTGGCAAGACGTGAACATTGTGCTAAGTATGCAGTATAGAAAAGCGTTTCTGTGCGATGCTTTTCTCATTTTGTGCTTTTTGTGTGCTCAACATCTACCTCGTCTTGGAATAAAAACAATGTGGATACTCTGTCTCCTGTCTATTTCATTTATATATAAATTGATCGCATGTTCCAAAAGAAAATAAGCATAAACAAGCGCGTTGAATAAACCCTAAGTGAATTATGATTATCTGCATTACGCATCTCTTTCTATTGTAACTTAGTCGAATTAAAAATTATGCCATGAACTCAATTCGCACGAACAATTTTGAGCTATACAAAATAATGAATCGCTAAATTGAAACGACAAACAATACCCTTGCCATTTAGGCGGAGAAAAATGGTCTGAAATCATTAACTTCCGCCATAGCCAAACGCTGGTCGCGCACAGTAACCCAAATT